GGGGTTTTGGGGCTTTTTTGGGCAATTTTGGGGCTTTTTTTGGCAATTTTAGGGCATTTTTTGGGCAATTTTAGGGCATTTTTTAGGGGTTTTAGAGCGATTTTTTTGGTGTTTTCTCACTTTTTTCGGGGAGCTTGGGGACATTTGGGGACAATTTGGGGATTTTCGGGGATTTTTTGGGATTTTTTCCCGGGGTTTTGGGGCTTTTTTTGGCAATTTTACGGCATTTTTTTGGCAATTTTAGGGCATTTTTTAGGGGTTTTAGAGCGATTTTTTGGGTGTTTTGTCACTTTTTTTGGGGAGCTTGGGGACAATTTGGGGATATTTGGGGATTCTTTGGGATTTTTTTCTGGGTGTTTTGGGGCTTTTTTTGGTAATTTTGGGGCTTTCTATGTAGAGGTTTTAGGATCATTTTTCAGGGATTTTTGGGGCTTTTTAAGGGGATTTTGGTGCCTTTGGGGGACATTTTGGGACACTTTGGGGACATTTTGGGGACAATTGGGGCCATTTTGGGGCCATTTGGGAACACCTGGGGACACCTGCGGCCATTTTGGGCCATTTTAGTGACATTTGGGGACATTTTGGTGCCCCTTGGTGCCACTTGAGGACACCTGGGGACATTTGGGGACACCTGGGGCCTCTTGGGGACAATTGAGGCCACTTGGGACAATTTTAGTGACATTTGGGGACGCTTTGGTGACACCTGGGGACATTTGGGGACAATTGAGGCCACTCAGGCACCACTTGGGGCCACTTTGGGGACATTTTGGTGCCGTTTTGGGGCCATTTGGCGACACCTGGAGACCCCTGGGAACACTTGGGGACACCTGGGGACATTTGGGGACACTTCGGAGACATTTTGGGGACATTTGGTGACACCTGGAGACCCCTGGTGACCCTTGGGGACCCCTGGTGCCACTTGGGGACATTTTGGTGCCACTTGGGGACATTTGGTGACACCTGGGGACACCTGGTGACAATTTGGGGACATTTGGTGCCATTTTGGTGCCATTTTGGGGCCATTTGGTGACACCTGGGGACACCTGGTGACAATTTGGGGACATTTGGAGCCACTTGGTGCCATTTTGGGACCATTCTGGGGCCATTTGGTGACCCCTGGTGACCCCTGGGGACCCCTGGTGCCACTTGGGGACATTTTGGGGACATTTGAGGCCATTTTGGGCCATTTTCGGGCCACCTGGGGACACCTGGTGACAATTTGTGCCCATTTGGTGCCATTTTGGTGCCACCTGGGGACATTTGGGGCCATTTTGGGCCATTTTGGGGCCACTTGGGGACACCTGGTGACACCTGGTGACAATTTGGGCCCATTTGGTGCCATTTTGGTGCCATTTGGTGACACCTGGAGACCCCTGGTGACCCTTGGGGACCCCTGGTGCCACTTGGTGCCATTTTGGTGCCACTTGGGGACATTTGGTGACACCTGGGGACACCTGGTGACAATTTGGGGACATTTGGAGCCCCTTGGTGCCATTTCGGTGCCATTTTGGGGACATTTGGCGACACCTGGTGACCCGTGGTGACCCCTGGTGCCACTTGGGGACATTTTGGGGACATTTGAGGCCATTTTGGGCCATTTTCGGGCCACCTGGGGACACCTGGTGACAATTTGGGCCCATTTGGTGCCATTTTGGGGCCATTTGGTGACACCTGGGGACACTTGGTGACAATTTGGGCCCATTTGGTGCCATTTTGGGGCCACTTGGGGACATTTGGGGCCATTTTCGGGCCACTTGGGGACACCTGGTGACACCTGGTGACAATTTGGGGACATTTGGAGCTCCTTGGTGCCATTTTGGTGCCATTTTGGTGCCATTTGGTGACACCTGGAGACCCCTGGAGACCCCTGGTGCCACTTGGGGACATTTTGGTGCCATTTGGGGACATTTTGGGGACATTTGGTGACACCTGGGGACACTTGGTGACAATCTGGGGACATTTGGAGCTCCTTGGTGCCATTTTGGTGCCATTTTGGGGCCATTTGGCGACACCTGGTGACCCGTGGTGACCCCTGGTGCCACTTGGGGACATTTTGGGGACATTTTGGGGACATTTTGGGCCATTTTCGGGCCACCTGGGGACACCTGGTGACAATTTGTGCCCATTTGGTGCCATTTTGGTGCCACTTGGGGACATTTTGGGGACATTTGGGGCCATTTGGGGCCATTTTCGGGACACCTGGGGACACCTGGTGACAATTTGGGGACATTTGGTGCCATTTTGAGGCCATTTGGTGACACCTGGGGACACTTGGTGACAATTTGGGGACATTTGGAGCTCCTTGGTGCCATTTTGGGACCATTCTGGGGCCATTTGGTGACCCCTGGAGACCCCTGGTGACCCTTGGGGACCCGTGGTGCCACTTGGGGACATTTTGGTGCCACTTGGGGACATTCTGGGGACATTTGGTGACACCTGGGGCCATTTTGTTCCCACTTGGTGACACTTCGGGGACATTTGGTGACACCTGGGGACACTTTGGGGACAATTGAGGCCACTCAGGTGCCATTTTGGGCCATTTTGGGCCATTTGGAGACACTTGGGGACACCTGGGGGACACTTGGTGACAATTTGTGCCCATTTGGTGCCATTTTGGTGCCACTTGGGGACATTTTGGGGACATTTGGGGCCATTTTCGGGCCACTTGGGGACACCTGGTGACACCTGGTGACAATTTGGGCCCATTTGGTGCCATTTTGGTGCCATTCTGGGACCATTTGGTGACACCTGGGGACACTTGGTGACAATTTGGGGACATTTGGTGCCATTTTGGTGCCACTTGGGGACATTCTGGGGACATTTGGTGACACCTGGGGACACTTGGTGACAATTTGGGGACATTTGGAGCCCCTTGGTGCCATTTTGGGACCATTCTGGGGCCATTTGGTGACCCCTGGGGACCCCTGGTGCCACTTGGGGACATTTTGGTGCCATTTGGGGCCATTTTGGGGCCATTTGGTGACACCTGGGGACACTTGGTGACAATCTGGGGACATTTGGAGCCCCTTGGTGCCATTTTGGTGCCATTTTGGGGCCATTTGGCGACACCTGGTGACCCGTGGTGACCCCTGGTGACCCTTGGGGACATTTTGGGGACATTTTGGGGACATTTGGGGACATTTGGGGCCAGCACTGACCTCCAGGATGGCGTCGCAGGCGCTGATCTGGTTGTGGAGCTCCGCGATGTTCTCGCTCTCCCGGATGTCTGAGACGTCAAGGGACACTCGGGGACACCTTGGGGACACTTGGGGACAAATTTGGGGACATTTGGGGACATTTTGGGACACCTTGGGGATGAATTTTTGGGGATTTGGGGGCGTTTTGGGGCATTTTGAGGCGGTTTTGGGGCATTTTTGGGTGTTTGGTGACACTTTGGGGACATCGGGGACACCCTGGGGACACCTTGGGGACATTTTGGGGACACGTTTTGGAGCCAAATTTGGGGTATTTGGAGCCAAATTTGGGGATTTTGGAGCCAAATTTGGGGGATTTTGGAGCCAAATTGGGGGATTTTGGTGCTAAATTTGGGGATTTTAGAAATTTGGGGATTTTGGAGCCAAATTTGGGGATTTTGGAGCCAAATTTGGGGATTTTCGGGGATTGCGCCCTTGGGGACATTGGGGACATTTTGGGGACATTTTGGGGACACCTTGGAGACAAATTTTTTGGGATTTTGGGGCGTTTTGGGGCATCTTGAGGCAGTTTTGGGTCATTTTGAGGCAATTTTGGGGCATTTTGAGGCAGTTTTGGGTAACTTTGAGGCAGTTTTGGGGCATTTTGAGGTGGTTTTGGGGCATTTTTGGGGGTTTGGTGACACCGGGACACTTTGGGGACATTTTGGGACAAATTTTGGGGACAATTTTGGGGGATACAGTCCTGGATCGAGGCCCTCTCCACCTCCTGCAGCTCCAGCTCCACCTGCCGGGAATACTGGCGCAGGTCCACGCCCTGAAAGGGAAATTTGGGGAGTTTTGGGACATTTTGGGGACTTTTGGGGATTTTTGGGGATTTTTTTGGGATTTTTGGGGATATTTTGGGGAGGAGCCACTCACGGTCTGCAGCGCCTCCTGCACCAGGGCGTCCTCCAGGTTCTGCTGGATGTGCACTGGGAAAAATGGGAAAAATTGGGAAAAATGGGAAAAATTGGGGAAAAACGGGAAGAATTGGGGAAAAATTGGGGGAAAATCGGAAAAAATTGGGGAAAAATTGGGGAAAAATTTGGGACAATGGGAAAAATTGGAAAAAATGGGAAAAATTGGGGGAAAATAAGAAAAATTGGGGAAATATTGGGAAAAATGGGAAAAATTGGGGGAAAATTGGGAAAAATGGGAAAAAATTGGCGAAAATGAGAAAAAATTGGGGAAAACAGGAAAAATTGGGGGAAATGGGAAAAATTGGGGAGAAATGGGAAAAAATTGAGGTAATGGCCCCGCCCCCTCATTACGCATTAATAACCCTGTCTCCCTAATGACCACACCCCCTCATTAAGCATTAATGACCCTGTCCCCTTAATGGCCACGCCCCCTCATTAAGTATTAACGACCTTTTCCCCATAATGGCCACGCCCCCTCATTAAGCATTAATGACTGTCTCCCTAATAACCACGCCACCTCATTAAGCATTAATGACCCTGTCCCTGTAATGGCCCCGCCCCCTCATTAAGGACTAATGACCCTATCCCCATAATGGCCATGCCCCCTCATTAAGCATTAATGACCTTTTCCCCATAATGGCCATGCCCCCTCATTAAGTATTAATGAACTTTTCCCCATAATAGCCATGCCCCCTCATTAAGCATTAATGACCTTTTCCCCATAATAGCCACGCCCCCTCATTAAGTATTAATGACCCTGTCCCCATAATAGCCACGCCCCCTCATTAAGTATTAATGACCTTTTCCCCATAATAGCCACGCCCCCTCATTAAGTATTAATGACCTTTTCCCCATAATAGCCACGCCCCCTCATTAAGCATTAATGGCCCTGCCCCCTTAATGGCCACGCCCCCTCATTAAGTATTAATGACCTTTTCCCCATAATAGCCACACCCCCTCATTAAGAATTAATGACCTTTTCCCCATAATGGCCACGCCCCCTCATTAAGCATTAATGACTGTCTCCCTAATAACCACGCCACCTCATTAAGAATTAATGACCCTGTCCTGTAATGACCACGCCTCCTCATTAAGCATTAAAGACCCTGTCTCCCTAATAACCACGCCCCCTCATTAAGCATTAATTACCCCATTCCCTGCCATGGCCCCGCCCCTCCCCTTGACCCCGCTCCCTCATTGGCCCGCCCCTCCCCTTGGCCCCGCCCCTTTCCTTGACCTCGCTCCCTCATTGGCCCGCCCCTCCCCTTGGCCCCGCCCCTTTTCCTTGACCCCGCTCCCTCATTGGCCCGCCCCTCCCCTTGGCCCCGCCCCTTTCCCTGGCCCCGCCCCTCTCACCGTCCAGCTCCGCCCCCTCCAGCTCCAGCTCCTCCTCCAGCTCCGCCTCCAGCGGCGCCTCCATCGCCGCCCCCTGCGGCACAGCGGCCCCGGTGAGCGCCTAACGCCGACCCCTGGCGGCTCCTCCCAAAAAACCCCAAAACCGCCCCAAAAAAACCCCCAAAAACCCTCCCGGGATCCCCCCTCCCCTCCAACCTCCCCCGCCGCCGGCGCCACCTCCGCCTGCGCCGCCATCTTGCCGAGGCGCGGCGCGTGACGTCACTTCCGCTTTCTCCCCCTCCTTCTTCCTCTCCGGCACAGCCCCGCGCCGGCCGCAGCCATGGTGAGCTCCGGGCGGCATCCGCCGCCATCGGCGAGCGGGGCGGGCGGCGGGCGGCGAGGAGGGCGCGGGGCGATGGCGGCGGCGCCGGGGGAGGCGGCGGGGCGGGAAGGGCGCGGCGGAGAGCGGCGATGGCGGCGGCAGGGAGGCCAATGTCCGACCCCCCCCCCCCCCCCACCCGCCATCTCTCCTCAGGTGTCATGGCGGCCCTCGCGCCCCTCACGGCGCGCTCGGCGCGAAACGGCCCCAAAATGTCCCACAAAATGTCCCACAAAATGTCCCCAAAGAGGCCGGAATTGTCCCAAACCCCCCCGAAAATGTCCCCGAGTCCTTAAACTGTCCCAAATCCCTTTCCGCGTGTCCTCGATCCCCTCAAAACTGCCCCAAATCCCCTCAAAAGTGGCCCCAAGTCTGGGCAAAGGGACTCAAAATCCCCCAGAATTGTCCCCAAGTCACTAAAAGTGTCCCCAAAATGTCCCCAAATCCCTTTCAAATGTCCCAAATCCCTTTCAAATGTCCCCAAGTTCCTAAAAGTGTCCCCAAGATGTCCCAAATCCCTTTCAAATGTCCCCAAGTTCCTAAAAGTGTCCCCAAAATGTCTCAAATCCCTCTCAAATGTACCCAAATCCCTCAAAATCCCCCAAAGTGTCCCAAATCCCTTTCAAATGTCCCCAAGTTTCTAAAAGTGTCCCCAAAATGTCCCAAATCCCTTTCCATGTGTCCCTAAGTCTATAAAAGTGTCCCCAAAATGTCCCAAAATCCCTAAAAGTGTCCCCAAAATGTCCCCAAAACCCTTTCAAGTGTCTCAAAATCCCTAAAAGTGTCCCCACAATGTCCCAAATCCCTTTCAAATGTCCCCAAATTCTTTTCAAATGTCCCCAAGTCCCTTAAAGTGTCCCCAAAATGTCACAAATCCCTTTCTAATGTCCCCAAATCCCTAAAACTGTCCCCAAAGTGTCCCCAAGTCCCTTAAACTGTCCCCAAAATGTCCCCAAGTCGCTTAAAGTGTCCCCAAAATGTCCCCAATCCCTTTCCAAGTGTTCCTAAATCGCTAAAAGTGTCCCCAAAATGTCCCCAATCCCTTTCCAAGCGTCCCCAAATCCCTAAAAGTGTCCCCAAAATGTCCCCAAGTCTCTTTTAAATGTCCCCAGCTCTCTAAGTGTCTCCAAAATGTCCCAAATCCCTTTCAAATGTCCCCAAATCCCTAAAACTGTCCCCAAAATGTCCCCAATCCCTTTCCAAGTGTCCCTAAATCGCTAAAAGTGTCCCCAAAATGCCCCAAATCTTTTTCAAATGTCCCCAAGTCCCTAGAAGTGTCCCCAAAATGTCCCCAAGTTTCTTTCAAATGTCCCCAAATCCCTTTCAAATGTCCCTAAACCCCTAAAAGTGTCCCCAAAATGCCCCAAATCCCTTTCCAAGCGTCCCAAATCCCCCCGAAAGTGTCCCCAAGGTGTCCCCAAGCCCCTCCAGGTGTCCCCAGCCCCCCCAAATCCGCCTGAAATTCTCCTCGATCCCCCCAAAAACCATCCCGGGGCTGTCCCCAAGTGTCCCCAGATGTCCCCAAGTGTCCCCTCAGTCCCTGGTGATCCCCAGTGTCCCCCTCATGTCCCCACTGTCCCCTCGGTGTCCCCAATGTCCCCTCACTGTCCCCACTGTCCCCTCACTGTCCCCGCAGTCCCTGGTGCTCCCCAATGTCCCCATTGATGTCCCCAATGTCCCCTTGGTGTGATCCCAGTGTCCCCTCGGTCCCTGCTGTCCCCAATGTCCCTGCTGATGTCCCCACCGTCCCCTCGGTGTCCCCAATGTCCCCTCAGTCCCTGCTGTCCCCAATGTCCCCTCACTGTCCTCGATGTCCCCTCAGTGTCCCCAATGTCCCCAGTGTCCCCAATGTCCCCTCACTGTCCCCAATGTCCCCTTGATGTCCCCTCGATGTCCCCAATGTCCCCTCGATGTCCCCTCAGTGTCCCCAATGTCCCCTCACTGTCCCCAGTGTCCCCTCACTATCCCCAGTGTCCCCGATGTCCCCTCACTGTCCCCGATGTCCCCAGTGTCCCCAATGTCCCCTCACTGTCCCCATTGATGTCCCCTCAGTCCCTGCTGTCCCCGATGTCCCCTCACTGTCCCCAATGTCCTTAATGTCCCCTCGCTGTCCCCACAGTCACTCGTGATCCCCTCAGTCCCTGCTGTCCCCAGTGTCCCCTCACTGTCCCCAATGTCCCCTCAATGTCCCCAATGTCCCATCACTGTCCCCGATGCCCCCTCGGTGTCCCCAGTGTCCCCAACGTCCCCTCGCTGTCCCCAACGTCCCCTCACTGTCCCCAACGTCCCCTCACTGTCCCCAGTGTCCCCGATGTCCCCTCACTGTCCCCAATGTCCTTAATGTCCCCTCGGTGTCCCCGCAGTCACTCGTGATCCCCTCAGTTCCTGCTGTCCCCGATGTCCCCAATGTCCCCTCACTGTCCCCAATGTCCCCTCACTGTCCCCGATGTCCCCTCACTGTCCCCAATGTCCCATCACTCCCCAGTGTTCCCTCACTGTCC